GGGAGGGGGTTTTGATGAGTCAGGGGCATTCGTGGGGTTTGATGGAGTTTGGAGGGAATTTTGAGTTGGTGGAGTCTGGTGACTTGTTGGGGAGATATTTAGAGTTTAAGAACGCTAATTTTTGAGAATTTGTTTGGTTTTTTTAGGATTTTATGATTTTGGATTTTTTTATTTTGGATTGGCTGAAGGAATTCTCATGAATTAAGCATCAATTTTCATTTTGGGAAATTGAATCATTAGATTGAGAGATATTTAGAATTTGAGAATGATAATTTTTGGGGATTTAGTTGGATTTTTGGGGGGATTTTATAATTTAAGGGGATGTCTTGGGATTGGCTGAGGGAATTTTGATGAGTCAGGGCTCATTTTTGAGGGGTTTTGGTGGAGTTTGCAGGGAATTTTGAGTTGGGGAAATCGAATCATTAGGTTGAGAGATATTTAGAATTTGAGAATGGTAATTTTTGGGGATTTAGTTGGGTATTTTGGGGGATTTTATAATTTAAGGGGATGTCTTGGGATTGGCTGAGGGAATTTTGATGAGTCAGGGCTCATTTTTGAGGGGTTTTGGTGGAGTTTGCAGGGAATTTTGAGTTGGGGAAATCGAATCATTAGGTTGAGAGATATTTAGAATTTGAGAATGGTAATTTTTGGGGATTTAGTTGGGTATTTTGGGGGATTTTATAATTTAAGGGGATGTCTTGGGATTGGCTGAGGGAATTTTGATGAGTCAGGGCTTATTTTTGAGGGGTTTTGGTGGAGTTTGCAGGGAATTTTGAGTTGGGGAAATCGAATCATTAGGTAGAGAGATATTTAGAATTTGAGAATGGTAATTTTTGGGGATTTTATGGCTTAAGGTGTGTCTGGCATTGGCTGTGGGAATATTGATGAGTTGAGACTCATAAATTGTCTGAAGGCATTGACCCCTTGGGCTCATAAACTATAAACTATCATTAAAGACATTCTTTTCCTGCGGGTTTTAATAATACAATGGGAAAAGTTCTTCAGACACTCCAGACTGGACGAAAGTTCGAGTTTCAGAATTGTTAAAACTAAAGTCTAAAAATTTTTATGAAGTTTCCTCAGAACCACTGAAGTACCAGAAGTGAAACCAAGTTTCGGAAATTAACAATAATTAGTTCCTCCAGTGAACACTAATCTTGTTACAAAAATTAGAACTCAGAGAATTAGTGTATTCAAATTTACTTCAATTTCCTCTCATTTTCATTTTATTTCTCGTTTTCTTCCTCCTGTTGGTCTGGGGAATTGAATTTGTGTTTTTTGCATTGCAGGAGATAATGAGAGTGGGAAGACGACACTCATTGCAAAACTCCAAGGGGTTGAGGATCCCAAGAAAGGATCTGGACTGGAGTTTGCTTATATTGATGTTCGTGATGATTATAGAGATGGTAGGAATTAAAAAAAGAAATATTTTTGCTTGGATGTTTCATTATTATTTTTGGAATGAGTTTTGGGTTAATTTTTAAAAATTAAATTTAATTAATTAATTTTCAATTTAGTTTAATTAGACAAAAAATTGCATGTTGGGAAATATTAGTCACTTATGGTGTTGAGGGTCAAACGACCTTTGAGGATTTTTGGAGTTCAGGGTCAAATGGGCCTAAAAGATATTTGTAGATGAGGGTCAAATGGTCATGAGGGTCAAAGGACCTTAAAGTACGTTTGGAATTGAGGGTCAAACAACCCTTAAGTACGTTTGGATTTGAGGGCCAAATGGTCATGAGGGTCAATTGACCCTTATTAAGTCCGTTTGAAATTGAGGGTCAAAGGACCCTCAAGTACATTTGGAGTTGAGGGTCAAACGATCCTCCGTTAGACCCTCTAGACCATCTGAACCTCAACTCCAACCCTCCCAAGGGCCCTTTGACCCTCAAAACCATTCGCCCCTCACCATTACCCCTTCCAGATCAGACGAGATTATCGGTCTGGGTGTTGGACGGTGACCCTGGTCACGCGAATCTCCTGCGATTCGCCCTGAGCCCCGAGCGTTTTCCCCACACCCTCGTGATGCTGGTGGCGGCGATGACGACCCCCTGGGCCCTTCTGGACCAGCTCCAGGCCTGGGCAGCTCTTCTCGGCGATCACATCGACAAACTACCCCTCGACAACGACACGAGGCAACAGTGTCGACAGGCTATGGTGAAAAAGTGGCAGGACTACATGGAGCCTGGGGACGAACTCGATCCTGGAAGCCCTCTGAGACGCACCAGTCGCAATCTCGATGATGACAGCGACAATCTGCCTCTTCCAGAGGGCGTACTCACCACCAATTTGGGTCTCGACGTCGTCGTTGTCATCACCAAGACAGATTACATGTCCACTTTGGAGAAGGAGCACGATTACAAGGACGAACACTTTGACTTTATGCAGCAGTGGATCAGGCGGTTCTGCCTGCAGTACGGGGCTGGACTTTTTTATACTTCTGCCAAGGAAGACAAGAACTGTGATTTGCTGTATAAGTACCTTACTCATAGGATTTATTGCTTACCGTTTAGGACACCTGCACTCGTTGTGGAAAAAGATGCTGTACTTATGTGAGTTCTGGGGATTTTTCATGTCTTAAAGTATTAGGTATTTCCAGAATATTTCAATTATGGGAATTCATGTGTGGGGATTATTTGAGATGTTTATCATTTAATTAATTTATTTATTTATTTATTTATTAATATTAATATTGATTAGTTAATGTTGACATTGACACATTATTTCCTTGAATTGGGAATTTACTGTCGAGAAAAATAAATGGCGGTATTAAATTATATAAATTTTGCAATTGTAATTTTGAAATTTATTGATTGCAGACCTGCTGGTTGGGATAATATGAAAAAGATTGGAATCCTCCATGAGAATCTTCAATCGATGAAACCAGACGATTATTATCGTGATGTCATCGCTCAACCACCAACAAATAGAAAAGTAAGAAAAACATTAATAATTGAATTAAAAATCTAAAAGATTTTTTGGTTCTAAAATCTGAATTCTTTCAAATTTACAATTCAAAAAATTTGATCATTCGAAGTGTTATAGTATTGCTTCTTCACGAATAATTAACAAACAATATGAATTGATGATTGATTTTACCAGAAATGTTTTTTGCAAAATTTAATTGACAATTCAATCATAAAAAATGTCAAATTAAATTTATCAATTAAATTAAATTGGAATTAGTCAATTAAATTAATTAAATTGTCTTCTGCTTTTTTAAAAAAATGATGAAAAATTGGAAAATTACAATTTTTGACATTTACGATGAATAATTGATAAACAACTGATTATCCACTCTAAAAATGATGTTTTCAAAATCATAATGAATTCATTAATATTCAGAATATTACCAGAAATGTTTTCTGCAAAATTTAATCAACAATTCGATTATATAAATAGTCAAATTAAATTTGTCAATTGTATTTTGAAAATTTGATGATTGAAAATCTCCAAACAATCGTGTCATTTATCTTGAAATATCATTATAGTGTGTAGCGAGGGAAGTGGAGGTCCAAGCTGAGGACGAACAGGCCTTTCTGGCCAAACAGCAGGCAACCCTCTCAGGCATGAGGGATCCAACGCGTTCGCCAACTACCCGCAACCAGGCAAGCTCCGGGCCAGTCATGCAGGTTGTACCAACGCCGATTGAAGCATGCTTACGATGTTTCTTGGTCCTAACCCAGAATGGTCAATACCAGAAAATGCAAAACATCCCAGTATTTGCCTGTCCACTAATTTGAATCACAAATTTATTCACCCATTTGTTGTCGTTGGAGAGTCATTTGAATTATTAATTGGGCCATTAACAGCCTCATTACATCATTTCATTGATTATTTAAGAATTTGTGGTCGTTGTTTACTCGTGATTAATCAATTATTCAAGGGTTGTGACGTTAATTAACATAAAACATAAAAAAGGTTTTTGCGAGAGGATATTTGGTTCATTATCTCCTAAAGTAGTGTCTCTAGAGAAAAATGTCACTAAATATTTTATGTGGGAAATTTAATTCTCTACAAAAAATTTTTTATGACATTTTGCTTCAAATTTGTTCATTAATGAGATAATTAAAGAATTAGCGCTAAGAATAAAAAATATCGCAATAAAACAAAACCTTTTTCTTAATTTTGCGAATATCTCCTGAACGAGTAGTTGTACAGAAAAATTTTATAAGACATTTTTTGTGGGAAATTCAATTCCCTAAAAAAAATGTTGTATGAAATTTTTCTTTAAAACTCCTCTTTTACGAGATATTCACAAAAACAACGAAAAATTTTTGTTCATTTCAGTTTTTCTCCATCAATTCATTAGTGAAGTTAATTATTTCAACTGCTAATTGTTTTTGTCCAGCTCTGGTGTTACCAGACCGTCAGTCCACCAACATACACGATGATCAAGCCAATCTGTGTTGTTTAATTCATGAATAAAAATAAAACATTGCTAGCATGTTCTAATCTAAATGTGGTATGATCTGTAAATAATCGTGACTTAATCGTCATATCAATTCAGAATGGCAATGACTGAGTGATTTTAATTCAGGTACCCTCTCCCAACAAGAAATTGGACCCGAAGGGGGCTGGAGCGACGCCAGCAGGCGAGGGGGTGCTAGCCAGTTTCTTTAATTCACTTTTGTATAAGAAGAGTGGTGCATGGCCTGGTGGGCCAGGCTCACCGGGCACACCAGGCAGCGTTGGCACGAGTCCTGTGAAAATTGGTGAGTATTAAAAAAATATCCTGGAAATTTCTGAAATAATATGAAAAAATGCGTGGCTTGAATTTATAATTCATTAGAATTTACTTTTATCTTAATCATTTTTACGAATAATATTTTTAAAAAATTCTAATAATAAATATTTAATCGAAGAACTATTTTAACAAATTGTTCAAAAAAATATTGAATTCATCTAATGAATTTTACGTCTTGTTATTTTTCACTGTTTATGATCATAGAAAAAATGAATTTTAATATTCTCAGATGATGGACCAGTGGATAAAGCAGCGATGAGAAACGATGCAGCTGCAGAATTGGATCGTATAACTCGGAGTAAAAAAATACCCCCACCCGATCTAAACTCATCCTCCGAGTGTTGAGAGGAGTAAAAATATATCACGGAATAATCATTTGTGGCCCATCTGCATTCAGATGCCCTCGGACACCAGGAGAAGTTAGAATGAATTCCTCAGGAGAAGCTAATAGTGAAATAGCGATTTTACATCTTGAATATGTCCGGACTCAACGGTGCGATTTTCAAAAATCAGAACCCATTTTGAAGAGTGATAAAATACCGTTAAAATGAGACTTGATTTTTCAAATTTCACTCAGCCAATCTCGAGTTATTGAAGATTGAAGAAAACACATTTTACAATATTTCCCTTTTCTCTCATTTTTACTGAAATATTCAATGAATTTGATAGCTGATTCTCGCAAATTACCTGATAATGTCACAATATGTAGTACTTAGAGATCTTTTCAGTTGCATAATTTATTCATTTGCCAATTAAAAACGCTATTAATTAACGATATCAATTAATGAGTCGATATTTGTGTTCAATAGAGTGATTTTATTGAGTTCCAGCTCTCAAATTCGCGAATATCCACGTCTCCTCCCTGGATTAATTAATTATATTAATTAATTTCCTAGTTTAAGTAATTGTAATACTCGATCATAGCTCAACAAACTTGTAAATTTGATGTAACGAAAAAAGAAAAACAAACAGTTGAAAAGGAATGAAAAGTGCAATAGCTGAAGCATTTCGTATTCTTCTTATGATTCCTCTAACGAGACTAATTGATGAGGTGGGCCGCAGAGAGTTCATTAATTAAATCATTAAAAAGTAAATCGAATGAATGATGAAAAAAATTACAACAAGCCACAGCTAAACAAGCCTTACTCGTTGTGTTTGAATACAAGATACATAAACGATATGATTATTGATAGATTATTGAATTAATGTAATTAAATATTTAATATAAATAATGAAAATTGAATTATGCTTACGCACATGTCTTTGCGTCGTACCAATAGTAAATTATTTAGCTTTTGTTTCAGATTATTTGAAATTTTTTTCGTCATTATTTCTTCTCGATCGGTCTAATTTAGAGTATAACAAATTATAGGAGCGATTATTGAGTGTGTGAGGGGAGTTTTATACGAGATGTGAACAATTATATGGATTTTCGATTTTTTAAGGGAATAGATAGCTTTAGAAATCTGCTTTATTGGGCTCGGAGAGATAGTTGGATGTATTTTTTTCCCTTTTTTATGTGAAAACAATTCGTCAATTTGTCTATTTTCATCTATGAACTCTCGTATGCATATATTTTGGGAGGAATCAGTCGAAATCTTGGTCAAATAAATAATTTTTCATACAAGTTGTGTCATTTTTTATTGATTATTCATGAAAGATAAAATAAAATTGCTGATAAAAATGGGAAAATGAAGTTTTGATTTCTGTAAATAATTATTCATCCTAATATTGTATAGATTTTTATTAATTCTTAATAAGTTGGGGACATTCATTATGCTGATAACAGATAATTTTACTGGGTTAATTACTAATCTAGATTGCCACATTTTTTTGGAATTTAGGGTATGTAAATTCTATTTAGATACCGTGTAATCCGCAGTTTCATAACAATTTGTCGTATAAATGTCATCTGCACTGTTTAATCTTGGTAAATATTGTTCCTTCAATCGTGATTAATTCTGCTGGAATGCAGGTACAAATAATTAATAAAGTAACAAAAAACATTAATGCGATAGTGGAAGAGATACTTTTGAGTCAGACTTCGCGAACATTTGATTAACAATAAATAATCGAGGAAGTGATCGTAATTTAGGAAAAATAATTTCTATAAAAAAAACAACGTTGATTAGAAAAATTGAGGGAATTCAACGATTTAACAAATTGTGATGTTTGTTGATCGATTGTCGAGGCACTAGTGCCTCGTTATTAATTAACACTAGGGGAATTAACGGATGTGCGTGACGATGCGCGTCTCAGCAAGTGGTTTAACTGTTACGTTTACAGTCTTATCGGGGTTTTTTAATAGAGGAGAATTCGTTTGTCGACTGCCTTGCGGCATATGGGGCACTCGGACATGCGATCACCGCACATTTGGCAGGTACCGTGGCCGCATAAGAAGATCATGTTTTTCAGGCGATCCAGACATACTGGACACATTGTCTAAAAATCGAAGAATTTGATGATTACCACGAAAAAATTGACTCCATACCCTTAATTGTTGAAATATCTCAAGAGTGAGTGGTTTGACGAAAAAATGCGACAAGAAATTTTTCGTTGGAAATTTAATTCCCTACAAAAAATTTCTAAAGACTTTTTCCCACAAAACGACTCGTTATCGAGATAGACGTAAAATTAGAAAAAACGATTTTTGAATCATTTTTTATTGAATGCACTTGAACATCTGTTAAATAGCGAATTATGTGGATAACTAGTCGTTTTACGAGAAAATGTCACAGAACATTTTTTGCTGGAAATTCAATTCTCTACAGAAAATGTTCAGACGAATTTTACTCTAGAACTACTCGTTCTCGAGATAATCCCATAAACAGCAGAAAGTAATTTTCCTCGTCTAAAAAACTCACCTGTTCTTTAATATCTTGCAACTGCTGTTGCAATTTCTGGATATCACTGTGCGAAGTATCCCTACTCCCATTATTCATTAATACAGTCTCACCACCACTATTATTTAGTGGTGCAACATCCTCCTCAACATCAGCTTTAACTTCCGAAATAGTGCCTGCAATCCCGAAAACAATAAATTATTCACGCATCCTCTCACGCTGAATAACTTAAATTTTCCAGGGTGGGTAAATTTTTGAATAAACCAGAACTCATGCACGGATTAGGTGCCGGGGGATTACGATTTAATACCTGGAGCATTTTGCCCCTTAATGTAAGTAACATCACCTCCTCCACCGCAACAGACGGACAGTGGTACCATGTGCTGTATCTGTACACGGCACTGTACACACTTCTTCATCAATGTTGCGCAACTCTCGCAGGCACACATATGACCGCACGGACGGAATAGTACTCCAGCTTTACGGTCCGAACAGACCACACACTCCTCAATCTGTCAATCAAATTGATTTATGGAGGGATTAGTTCATTAGGTTGTTGAGATTATTTTTATTCGCCTATGAATTTTAAATGGGAGTGAATGCATCTCGGCACCATTTGGTATTGGTTTTAGGGAGAAATGCCAAAAGATGTTTTTTGTGGTGGAGGCAATTCACACTAATCATTGCCGAGATAAATCGACAGTTTATATCCTAGAAAAAAATCGGGCGCAAATTTGCCGTCAGGTGGTTAAGGGGTAAAGGGAGGATCTAGTAATCTGAAGGTTGTGGGTTCAAACCCNTTTTTTTTTTTTTTTTTTTTTTTTTTTTTTTTTTTTTTTTTTTTTTTTTTTTTTTTTTTTTTTTTTTTTTTTTTTTTTTTTTTTTTTTTTTTTTTTTTTTTTTTTTTTTTTTTTTTTTTTTTTTTTTTTTTTTTTTTTTTTTTTTTTTTTTTTTTTTTTTTTTTTTTTTTTTTTTTTTTTTTTTTTTTTTTTTTTTTTTTTTTTTTTTTTTTTTTTTTTTTTTTTTTTTTTTTTTTTTTTTTTTTTTTTTTTTTTTTTTTTTTTTTTTTTTTTTTTTTTTTTTTTTTTTTTTTTTTTTTTTTTTTTTTTTTTTTTTTTTTTTTTTTTTTTTTTTTTTTTTTTTTTTTTTTTTTTTTTTTTTTTTTTTTTTTTTTTTTTTTTTTTTTTTTTTTTTTTTTTTTTTTTTTTTTTTTTTTTTTTTTTTTTTTTTTTTTTTTTTTTTTTTTTTTTTTTTTTTTTTTTTTTTTTTTTTTTTTTTTTTTTTTTTTTTTTTTTTTTTTTTTTTTTTTTTTTTTTTTTTTTTTTTTTTTTTTTTTTTTTTTTTTAGTTGATCGGCAATTCTGTGACGATCATTTTGCAAATATCTGGCCGAATGGCTAAATGCATAATTTAGTAATCTGAAAGTTGTGGATTCAAATCCCAGCGCCAATTTTTTTTTTCCACCAGAGCTATGATGTATCGAAGAGTCGTGCCGGGTCTCATCATCTCGCCGACAATTTTTTCCCTGCAAACATCTAATCTAAATAAAATTGAAATATTACCTTAATCCTGGAAGCAACATTTTCCCTGCATATCAAGCACTTCTTGACCCTCGGTGCGCAAGCATTGCAGCACGAGACATGGCCACACGGGCTGAACAGCATATCCCTCTTTCCATCGGAGCACACAAGGCACTCGTCAATAGCAGCTGATGGTGTTGCCGGCTCAATGTCATGCGACTCCTTATTCTTATGGCAATTGGTCAACGTTTTACATAGATTGGGATCTGGACACAGATCAAGTGGTGTCTGTCCCTTCTTGTTCTTCAACTCCAAGTCAGCACCGTGAGCTGCCAAGAAACATGCAATAAATGAACTGCTTTTCTTATCCTGACCCTGAGCACCGAGACCCATTAACAGTCGTCCCACGTCTTGTACGTCCTGCAACTGTCTCAGCTGTGACAGTGTATGATGACGCAGCGCCTCGTGTAATGGTGTGTCACCGTCCTTATCGGCGACATTAACGTTTGCACCCTCACGTACCAGTAACTGGTGATTAATAAAGTTTAGGTTTTAATTAAAAATTAAAACGATATTTTTCCACGAGCAAACGATCATTTCACGATAAATTCATCCTCTAAAAATGAAATTTCAACGATTAAATATTCAAATATTTAGCCAAGAGGAGAATAATTTACCAAATGGAAAGAGCTTCTATTTTTACAGCTCTGAATATGAAATAGATTGAAAGATAGTGAAAATTGTTTGACGGTAATTTTTTTTACGGAAGGAAAAATGTGAAAAAAATTCACTCACTCGAACAATCTGTGTATGCTGACGTTCAACAGCAAGATGAAGTGCAGTCTGCAAATTGACATTCTGTAGATCCAGGTCGGCTTTGCCAACTCTAGCCAGTAACTCAGCAACTTCAACGTGATTGTTGAGAGCTGCTAGATGAAGAGCCGTGTAACCATCGTCCTTCTTCTCGTCTACGATCCATGGACGTGGAAGTTTGGTGAGTAAAATTCTCATTGCACTGTAACAATCAAACGACGGAGAGAACTGAATTAATTAAATTCCATCCGATCAATTTACGGTGTTTGGGGGATTATTTGTTAATTATGTCTGACTTATGGGAGGATAAATCACCTTGGGATCGTCTCGTGTATTGCGTGGAAAAAATTATCGAGTCAATCAACGTTGGGGCAATGTTGACTGCCAACGTTGGGGCCATGCTGTCTGCCAACATTGGCTGTCAACGTCGGGAGCACATCGTTATAGAAATTCCATTCGGAAGCAAATTGCTTCCACTTATTTAAACACTTAGATCAATATTGTTAGGTTACAGGTTTCACGATTAATTAACGGAAAAAAAAAATGAGATCCCAAAAAATAACCGGCAACAATAAGGCCAATGCAAGACGAGCTCTAAACATTCGCTAAACATGACAACATAAAAAAAAATGATATTTTCTTCTCGGAAATAAAAATAAACATCCCGCAGAGGGTGAGGGAGAGGTGAAGTCGCCTGGAGCGTGGTTTGAAGGGACATAACATGTGCCACAGTAACGTGTCAACATGTGCAATGCCTGGGACAACTCCGTGAACGGTTTTGAGATCGTCATGAGGTCGCCGGGAGGCCTCCGACAGCTGCAACACTCCCATTTCCTCTCTCGTTTCGTTACACTGCAGGGAGAATACCTAAGAGGAGGTCCGCATCCCGTCCGTGGGGTCTATGTGTTCCTAATGTGTTCCTGGGCTTGGTCGACACTCGTAACGGATATTGACCGTGAAAATCGAATGTGTCGAACTGTGGGAATTTATGAAAAGGAAATTGATGGAATCAACTGTTTGTTGAGAGCTACCGCATTTTAGCTTATTGGCGAGTGCGATTTTTGTGGTGGGGAATGCAATAACGAGATGTTTTCCGAGAATCGTTCCTCAAGGATCTTCGAGGATAGACTCATGTACTAGTACTAGAATAAATTCGGCCGCAAACCTCGTCTTAGATAGCCAAATGGGTTAAGACACAAGTTAGTAATCTGAAGGTTGTGGGTTCAAATCCAAGCTCCGGCAATTTTTTTTTTCATCAAAGCTATGATTGACCGAAGAATTTCACATATGTCGAAGGCGATGTGACTGTGGGAATCGATAGAAATAAATGAGAAAATCGGTAAAATCAGCTATTTCTTCAGGATTTCATTCCTGTCGCTTAAGAAATCTCGCATCACCTTGAGAATGCATACATCTAGCGTAAAATACCCCTGAACATTTTTTCCAGGGAATTTCATAATCCACAAAAAACTCCTCTAACAATTTTTCGTAAAACCACAAATTCTCGAGATAACGGCGTAATTAAAAAAGCCATTTCATCCCGATTAATTGAATTTTCACTCGAAATTGCACAATTCATCAACTAAAATACTTTCCACTCGAAAACCTTGAAGCAACACATCCCCAGATAATTTAATTCTTCAATTTATGATAGTCATTACATCGCCAATTATTTCATCCCAACCCAGCCACATGGCGAATTGAAGCCACAGTGTTTCATCGTGGAGAACGACTAGACGCTGGGAGAAAAGATTTTAATGGAGAATAATACTAGCGGTACGTAATGACGTGTAATAACGACCGTTGGTAGACCAGAGTGGGAAATGAAGGGGGGGGGGGGGGGGAGGGGTGGACGATAGATACCAGAGGCGTGAATTCTGTCATAATTGGTGGTTTAATCAATTTATAGTTATTAATGCAATAACGCCAACATTCGAGTGCATTTGCATATTCATGCGGCAAAAGGCGGTGTCCCCCCCCCCTCCCCGCCCCCCTTCGCCGCTGGTAACCAAGTTGCCAGGGCTCCCTTGCCAAGGCAAACTAACTAGTCCCTATGTATTACATGTCCTGCTTTTTTTTACTCGTTTCACTCTGCATTACTTCGGGCATCCACTCCTTCTCTGTTTGTGAATTTTTGGAGGGAATTAAGGGGAGGGAAGTGAGGGGGTGACATTGTGACGTGGGTTGTGTTGGCTCTGGGTAAACAACTGTGTTCATCATATTGGGATCGCTGAGGATTCAAGTCTATTGAAGTTTTTGGGGTTTTTATGTCTTCGGAAGTTGGGGATCAGTGGGAAAGGAGGGGAAATTCTTGTGAGTTGAGGGGGAGGGATGACGAGATTTCTAGGTTAATTTTTTTTTAATGTGGGGCTTCGGAGCTTTATTATTTTGAGAGTCATTCAGCTGAGGGAATTTTGAATTATAAAGTTTCATTGGATTTTAGTTTAGGATGGCATGTTTTTGGAGAAATTAATATTAATTATTAGGGAGATGAATGGGTAATTTATAGGCTAGAAAATAAGCAGGTCCGGGTTCAGCTTGAGGTGGTCAAGGGGTAAATGAGTGATTTAGCAATCTGAAGGTTGTGGGTTCAAATCCCAGCACTGACAATTTTTTTTTGTTATTGTTTTTTTTTTACTATCGTTTTGTAAATCTCATGAAAAGGAACTCACTTAAATGCGAAATGTCTCGGAATCCAGGAGAGATAGCTAAATTTTCGTCAAGACATTTTTTGCAAGTTGTGAAATTCTCTAGAAAAAAGGTCATTACAAAAAATTGGCCACCTTCCTTCAATTCCTCGATACTAAGCAAAAACTGCAGCGTAAAGTTGAGCGACTCATCAGGGTCGAATTCTCATTTCATTCCTCTCTATTTTTCCTCATCGCCCCTCAAGATTATTTTCCCATAATCCCCCCGAAACCCCCATAACCCCAGGAAAAATAACTCCCTCGGAAATACCTCATCTTCAATTTTTTTACGTTCAAACTCATTTGAAAAGAGAAAAATCCCGAGGTGTAAAATTCAAATTTTAACGTAATAAAAAAATAGATCCCGGAAATAATGAAACTGTCCTCCCATAATCCCGGCAATTTCCTGGTTTTCATGTCTCCGTGTACATTCGCAAACCATAAAAACTTTCTCTAAAATTTTTCACCCCCTCATCCCCTATATAGACCGAGACTATCGCATTATTGGCGTCGGGAGACTCGAATCTCTGGTATCAAAGACCCTGAGAACACGAGAGAAGGAAAAAACACACACAGACGCACACACATACACGTTCACCGAATGGACATGGTAATTCCGCAGCCGAAGTTTAAGGCACTTCAGCCCGGACAACTTTAAGAGCAGAAGCAAATTAAATTGTTCAGGGTAAGAAATGGCGGATGGATCTCATGATATTAATACTTTTTTTTCGGGTACTTGTTTTTTCTGGGGAAGTCGTGACGTTGAAAAATAGCGAAACAACTGGAGGCATTGGTGCGTGGCGGAGAGAATGTGTGTGTGAGGGGCATGTGTGGGAGTGTTGGACGGAGGTTTCGGTGACTCAGTGACGGCCCCGGCCATCCGTCGTCTACTTCGTTCAAAACGTCTCGCTCGCTTTTAAAAGCTGTTGTAACCACGTGTCCACGGTTTTTCATTTGGAGATGACGCACACTGTGAGTGAGTTCTTCGGGTAACAGCTGATCACGTAATATTTGTCCGGGGGATGGGAGATTAGGGGATTTTTACGATTTTTTAACCGGGAGTTAGACGGACGACAGATATACATGAATCTCATTTTCAAAAAAAAAAAAAAATAGAAATAAAAATCCCAATTTTTTTCACTCTAAAAGAATTTTTTGGGAAAATTAATTTTGAGGGGTGGTTTCCAACAAAATTTTCAAAATTATTCCATTAAAAAAAAAATTCAACCTGAATTTTTGCAGAATAAATTTTTGAAATTTGGTTTTTAATGAAAAATAATTTTTTTGTTTCGAAATTCAACAATAAAATTCATGAATTTAATAAATGATACCTTGAATTGTTGAGTAAATAAACCAATTAATCTAATTTTCGAAAAAAAATATTAAATGATTTTTTTAGTCATGATTTTAAAATTAAAAAAGAAGTTAATGTTAAATTCAATAAATTTTATGAAAATGTAAAATTATTAAAATCGGGAAAAACTTAATTTTTATGGCTGAAATTATTTCCATAGATTTTCGTACATTGATAAACCACATATTACTGGATTACGCAATAGCATGCATATATCCCCATATTCTCAACTCCTCTATCTCTCCAAGTTTTCCTCTCTACTTTGGAACACTGCCCATTTCCCATCTGCACGATTGTTCCTTGCTTGTGTATCCACCAACGTGGTTTCCCATTTTCCCAGCAATATGTCTTGCTTTACCGAGGCAAATAGTAACGGTGAATTCAAGAAAAAAAAAATATTGAGGGAGAGAGAACTAGAGAGACATCGCTATTCTTGATCTTTCTGAGTAAAAAAATAAAGATTCTAAAAATTTTGGTAGAATTAATTTTCAAATACTTGAAAAAAAAAGAATGAATAAAAAAGCTTTTCATTTTTACGTTTCAAACATGAAATTTACCAATTTAATAAGTACTATCCCTTCTATCTTCAAATAGAATAAATTCGAAAGAGTTGTTTGCGAAAGTAAATTTAGACTTTTATTTTTTTTTAATTTTACTTTGGTTTTGTGGAAATTTTCATTGGGGAATTCATCAATATAATGAATAATTAATCACTGATGCATGAGAGTCAACTTGACAGTGACTCCGGAACAGTTGAAATGGCACTGATACACGCCCCCGTTATAATTCTCAATACCGAATGCATCGCGTTTGGATAAATTCGTGACGAGTGCGGCCTGTGACGCAATTTCCGGTTAAACGCGCGATTTCTCACTCATCGGCACTCCCACGGCGAGGACTGGTTATCGGCGAGCATTGCGCCCCGGGGTTTGGACTGTCGGCAGGCCGTCAATTTCGCATTTTTTTATTATTTCAATAATGAAATTGAGAAAAGGCATTCATTCAAATATACGGAATGAATTTCACGTGGGGGTGGAGGGAAGGGGTTATAAGGTCTTAAAATAAGATTTATCAAAGTCTTTATTGAAGTCTGAACTCTTAAACAGAGACTTTTGCGTGTGCACAATTCCAAGATTTTTTTTTTCTAATTTTCTTTCGTAT